TATTGTATGAATATATGTATTCACAGAAGGTTAAATCACCCAAAAGGTTTCAACATCAGTTTGAGATCAACAATCTTGCCAGGGGATCAATGGAACACATGTTAATTCAGATGATCCCTCTACTGTAGATCAGTGTTTTTCAACCTTGGCAACTTGCTGGTCCCATGCTGGCTGGGAAATTCTGGGAGTTGAAGTCCACACATCTTAAAGTTGCCAAGGTTGAAAAACACTGCTGTAGATCTCCCAGTCCTTGCAACATTACAATCTGGGTTCGACTCCACACTGGAACCTCTTCTTACCCACCCACCCCCTTCTAATAATTTTTTTAGCAATTAGAACCAGGTACAAGTTGCAGCTTCGTAGGATTCAATTAAATATAAGAAAAAACTTCCTGATGGCAAGATCTATTCAACAGTGGAACGGTCTCCCTACAGAGGTTGTAGGTTCTCCACCTCCGTAGGTTTTTAAGAAGGAGTTAGAGAATCATCTCAGTTTGCCTGCACAAAGCACAAGGTTAGATTAGATAATCCTTGTGGTCCCACTCAATTCCACAATTCTATCTTTCTTTGATTCTCTTTATAACAAGAGGCAAGCCTCAGAAACAATGCACAGTGTCATAACCGTGGAAGGAAAGAGGGCACAGTGAAAGGTACTGTGGGGTTTATCCTTCATGTTTACAGCAAGAGCACACAGCCATGAGCAGAATGCCGCACCTGGGGAGAAGCAAGAAGCTTCGGATTCTTCTTTTTAAAGTCCACTATAGCGTATCCATGCTACGTTTGACTCCAGGGAGACTTTCCCATCCCCATAGCTACCCAGTTGTGCAGGAATGCAGCTTTACCTCTAAAAAGATTGTGTGGCATAACTGTGCACACATGCACTGAAAATTTAATTCCCTTCGCAATGTTTGTTCAACATTTTGAACCTTGGCTATCAAAGCAGGAAGCCTACAAATGATTTCCCCCCATTCAAAAGGAGTTTTAATCCTTTTACATTTATCCAGAGTTGTAAAACATTCGGAGTCATTTTCAACTGAAGCAACATTTAAGCTTCGGTATATAAATACATAAATAAGCTGTAAAGCCAAGTGTCCCTCTACGAAGACACTCCGACAGGAAAGGAGTAAAATACCACGAGATCTGAACACACATAACTCAGTATTGCAGGGAAATAACAACCAAAGTCATCAAAGTGGTCAGGAGAAAAAACCCAAAGACCACTGAGGGAGACATAACTTTGGAGACAGGTTGACCAATGTATCATGCATCATGTGAGTGATCCAGGCAGGGAAGGACTGACCCAAAACAAACAACCCAAAAGCCAGCCTAGCAGCCTTTTTGTCAGAGAAACAAGACAACAATCTGTCAATAGGGATGGGACACTAATGATATCTCATTAATCATGCAGTTGTTTGGAAAACTGAGAACTTTGAAAACTTCTTCCAAGCTCTTTATAAAAGTTGAAATAAGATACAAGAACTTGGGAGAGGGAAAAAATCAGTATTGTTCACTCATCTTTTCCCCTTAGTATGCTCCATGTGTGTCAACTGCAGTCAAATCATCTCCATCTAGCACGTTCATCATCCAGACTGCATGGAGATGATGGGACATGGCTGTTGGACACTCTCCATTTACCTTTGTGCCCACCTAACACCTACCTTTTTCAGGGCCTCCATTTGAGCAAGGTCTCTTCTGCGGAGCCTCACCCACCGTCTACGTCGGTTAGTGTGATACATCTTCTCTGCTGGCACCCAAGACTTAGGTTTGTTGTCTGGTGGGATGGTAATGCCATATTCCCAGCCTCAGAGACAAAAGACAGAAAAGCTTAGAATACCAAAAGGAATTATCCCCTTTTTGAGTTTAACCAAGGGAAACGTGTGTTGAATTTCCACTCGTTTCCATGGCCGATGGTGGAGGGATCCTGAGATTGGAAGCCCAGCACATCTGGAAGACACCAGCTGCTTCAGAGAACTGAGACACTGTAATTCAGAGCTTGAGAGGGTTCTGAAACCTCATCCCAATTTTCCAGATCTTGTGACCCTGAAGGACACCTCAAGGAAGAATGTCCACGCCAACCACTTTTTAACCAAAGCAGCAAGCAGTTACTTGGTAGCCCCAAGGCATCTCTTCCTACAGTTTTAGAAATAAATTCTGGTATAGCCTACTATATCTAGTTCTGGGGGGGAAAAAAAAAAAAGGAAAATAATTCAAAAGAAAATCAGGAGATTCCTGAACTCACCTCATCATCTCCTCATTTCCTTGTTCAAGAAGCAAGAACGTATTTTTCTAGACCAAAGCAAGGCTTTTCTCTAAACCCTTCAAAGCTTTATAGTTATCTTTCCATTATTGTGTGTGCATGGGTCTGTTATTTTTTAAAAAGAATTGCTTCTTTAAAAACCTACAGCGTCTCTAGGCTGAGCAACATCAGGCTCCTTCCCGAGACTAGGGCCCCTGGGCAAAGAATATTTGCTTTATCCTGTACAGAATATGGTGACCCATCAGCCAGTTGATAGTCTCTAGGTCAGTGTTCCTCAACCTTGGCATCTTTAAGATGTATGGACCAACTCCCAGAATTCCCCAGCCAGCAAGGCTGGCTGGGGAATTCTGGGAGTTGAAGTCCA